AGATCCCAAAACACTCGCAGCTGTGTCAGACAGCAGTATAAAAACGTCCAAAGGTCTCTACACCTAGCTGCGGGCGCCCACCGCCCCAGATATCTGCGCCCCCTGCTACCTCCAGTGTTTTTGATTTGGTTAGGACGTCGGGCACAGGTGGGAGAGGAGGGAAGTGTGCAAGTATACTTTCCCTGTTGAATAAATCACGCACAAGTCACCGTTTCTCTCTTACGCTGCTCCGGGACAGACGGTGGACAACGTCAGAAACGAAATTTTTACTGTTGGGTGGGGCGACAGCTGGGAGAAGCTGTGTCAGGGAGTTGCAATGAAGGGCTGAGGGAGAAGTGGCGGAGATTTTCGTGGAGTTAGCAAGGATGAAGCCCGTGTTTCAGACTTCTTTAATGTGCACCTACGCCTTAACTTGCACCTTTGGGACACGCTATATTGGTCAAACAAGTACGCAGCTATCCAAGTGGATGCGAAGGCACCATCCTGCTTGGCTAAAAGGACGAGTGGTAAATCCAATATCTATAGCGGCGTCAGCCAAGCGTTTTGGATGCGTCGGTGGATACTTCCGACGACAGAGGCAGTCACCATGCTACTAACTAAACCAATTTTATGTCCAGAGAAGGCGTTTGTACAGGCACTAAGGCTCCCATGGCCAAAGATCAACTCTACCTCCATCCATCTTCTTCCTACCCCACCGTTAGACAGCTACGAGACAGCAGCAGCGTGCATCCCCACGCCGCTCACGAGACTGGGACACCTTGCGTCCTGAGGCCTCTCAACACGACGCAAGACAGGAACGACGGAGTGACATGAACTAATTGTCCGACCCCTTTCCTCCTCCTGCCTCTCTTGCCCCTAATTATAACTAGAATCTGAACCCTTGGTCTCTGAACACCTCTCCCCATAATTACTACCGATTAGTTGCTGAAACTTTTGTTAGCTCTACCCTGCCTTTAAGTATTGTATTTGCCTGATGATACATAATCCAAATTGTTTTAGATCGGGGTATTGACACTCGTTTATTAACGTACACTGATCGTTATTGGAGGTAACTCGCCTGGCTGCACATTGGGGCTCATTCTCAATCTAAACCGGTGAGATAATGAGCCTTTTAGACTTCTGACCAAAATATCACAAATTCGAGCCTGGGGTGGGGTACCATTTAGATTGGGTATGACCGGCTAATTACGGGCTAGTGGACCATAAATAACTTTTTCAGTCTCCCTTGTCTTTGCCGGCAATACTACCTGCCTAGGCTACTGGCCACTCTGCGGCTGCTCGCGGAGACGAAGAATGAGGCCCAATATGGCGCGGGACGAGTGAGTTCCGTTAGTGATCGGTGAACATCAATCAACGAGACATTCGTGTTTTACTACCGCATTTTTAAATCATGCTGCTTCTCGGGTACTCGTGTGTGTTCCTTACTCTTAAGGTAGAATGCGTTCGGTAAGTGAACCACACACAGGCTCTTCTTCATACATAAAAGGATAAAGATGGATTAATTTTCATCTTCAAAATATACTCACCTATAAACATATGGTCCAATCGCTTGCAGTTTGGGTTTCACCAAGGGCCCGATCTTGTCAGCGTTGGTTACGTTGAAAAACCAGAATTTAAGCAAACCCTTGTCACTCGGTTGCATCAGAAAGTCCATCGACAGAGAGCCAGGTCTGATTATAATATTCTATAACATGCAAAATAGATGAAAATTTCCAACGTAGGGGCTGCATAGACATCTGTATAAGCCTCTGTTTTCATGGTCGCGCAGATGAAACACCTGCACTTTGAACGCAGAACGGGTCATACAATAGATGATAGTAAGTGAAAAAAAGTAAATCGACTAATCCACAATGGCATACTGGATCTATCTGTGCATTACACTTTGCGACAACACACACACAAACTGTTTTTTTAATGGCTTAACCGATTAAATAAAGTCACTGGGCTAATCCAGGTGCTACGAGTGGTGCTTATAAAACAACACTGGAACTCTCACCTCTCATTCGCTTGTGCTTACTTTTAGTGGCAAATTTTACAATAGGAACGGCCGTCAGAGTTCATGTATTTCAACACTGCGGACTTCCTGAAGGCCCAGTTAGACTCGCAAGTGGTTCTGTTTAA